GTTTTCACTGTTCTAGATGTTAAGTCGGACTAAAAATTATATAGCAGCTATGCATACTTTTGAGTATGGATGATTTAAATGTACATTTCTCCAAAACCAAAGGCGCTGCCTATGAGTACATCAGGATTGGACAAGGGGTGCATATTTCAAGACTGAAGGGGAAGAAAAAGTCAGTTCTTCAATTTCTCAGTCTTCATGTCTTAAAGCTGATTCAAGCTTTATTTGGAAAACGACAACACACAATCGCTTTGTACTTTTATTTACCAGTGAGTTTCATCGTGTTTTGAAACGAAACTCTTCTGAGTTGATTGCCATGAAACATAAGCTTAATTATACTGTTGAGGTTGACAGCAAGTTGACAACTTTATCTATTTTTTTCATTCTCAGAATAAGAGAGCGAAAGCTGGTTCGATGGCTTTTAGAAGTCGAAGTGTTTGCATGAGATGCAGCCGAGCTGCACAGTCTGAAATTATTGAAGTCTTCAACCAAACAACAACCATGTAAAAGAATTAAATAGGCATTTTCTTGAATGAAAGTCGTTTATAGGTGTGTTTAGTTTCCCGGCACTGAAAGCTCCGGGTGTTCGTGACTGCAGTCATCAAAGTCGAGGTTGTTATTAAATCCCGCACATCTTTTGTTTTGAATTCTTGTTTTCTCTGATAATAAAAAATTATTGAAAGGACTAAAATTTTATCCCCTGGTTCTAGTGTTAATGATAATGATGACGTCTTTATTTTGGTTTCTTTCATAAGTATTGCCATTCTTTACTTAGTTATTGCCTTCTCCCAAATTAACTTATGCCAAACCAGTAGCATGCAAGAAAGCCAGTAAAAACAAATTTGTCTTGTCGAGCGCTCGCGACCTGCAAACTTCAAACATCATTTTAAGCGTTGGTGCAACCAGATAACCATGTGGTGCAAAAGTTTGACTCTAGAAAAATATATAAGCTTTCGAATGAAGTGATTTTTTTCGCCCCCTTTTTTGTCTGTTTCTCCCTTTTTGCTTTTAAACTTGGTGTGACGGCAATGTTATGCTTACCCAATTGGTTTATATACTAGACCGGAAATAAAAAGCTGACCGGATGTTAAATTTTGCGCTCATGCACAGTGCGTTTTGCCGCGGTGTGGGTTGCACTTAGGAGGATTATAACACCTCATTAGTGCTTAGCAAACTCCCCCAAAGCATCTGTGGTAGTTTATGGGTCATTTATACGAAAACGATCTATACCAATAACAAAATAATATACTACAACAAAACCCTATTGACATAGGGTTTTGTCAAGGCTGAGGTAATATATGCAGGCATCAATCAAATCAACTTGTTTACATTTTAGATTATCTTGCTGTGCAACAGTGCACACCAAGGACAGTTGTGTAATGAATTGTGTGTAAATGTGTTATTATTACAATTACTGATTTAAAGTGATCTAAAATAAGAACTAATAAACTTAATTAACTCCGATCCACGTTAGTTTACCCTCTAAGCTCAAACGTACAAATAAGTTGGTGGAAAATATGCCATAAAAAAATTAATTAGCAATGCATATTTTCGTCACCAAACGATTACCCTTTTACTGACCTTTGGCGTTTGGGCTCAATTTGTACATCAAAGAATTAAAAACATTATAAAAGACTGTTCATTGCTTACCACATATTCCCTAACTGTATCGTAAAATATCTGTTCTTCCTCGCTTCCATCGTAGTTCGTCTCCATCACTCATCCAGTTGCCAAATTGTACCGTAAAAATCGTGCCATCTTCCCATGCATCCTCAATAAATTTCGTAGCAAAAAATATCTTACTTTGAAAAGTTGTGACTCGACATAAATTCCTTTTTATCAGCTCAAATGTACCAGGCGACAAAAGGTGTGATCAAGTTCGAAGTTATTGCCATTCGAATCGCGGTAGGAAACTGCAGCGTGTAGACTCGGCCACCACTAAAACTCACGTGAACCGTATAAGGTTTCAAATTATTTCAAGAGGTGCACAAATCTTGAGTAATCAATAGGGGTTATTATTTTAACTTGCTGAAGTTCAAAGATCACTTCCCCTCTGTGAAATTGTCGAAATCCTGGGAGTTAAAATGACGATGGTTGTTCCTCGTTCAAATGACCAAAGACAAAATTTGTTTTGCTAGTTCCAGTCCTTCATCGAGTGCACAACTGTTGGGAATGGTACCGTGGGTGGGGTGAGGGTGGGAGAGGGGAGGAAAATGGGAGGGTAGGGTGGGGAAAGTTTAGCAGAGATGGAGTGATCGGCCCCACCCCGTCAAAAGTACTCGAACTACGTGGAGGACAACATATCACTGGTTTAATTTGCACAGACGGATAAAATCTTGCATACACCATCTCAGTGCCACAAGCCTGGACTTAACCTCCACAAAACTCACTCCAAAGAGGTCACGAGATTCTTGGTCATATTCAAAAGCACTTTGAGTGCTCCAAAATGTTTTATTGGTTTAATTTTTTCAAAATTTTGCCCATATATCTCTTTTTCCCTAACTAAGAAATATTGACAGGGAGGTATTTTCAAATTGTGTGTGCATGAAAACAGTCATAAATAACTTAGGAAATTTGGCAGTGGTGGACCCAGGCCAGGGAAGGAACCCGGGGACCCCTTATTTTTGGACCAAAATGAGGCCCAAACAGCTGAAAACTTATTTTTGGAGACAGAGCCCCTCCCTCATCTCAGAGTCTGGATGACTACCACCCCCCCCAAATCCGAAAGTCTGAATCCGCCACTGTTTGGTTAAGACCTGCCTTTACATAGAGGCTTTTGGCTGGAACAAAACCCACATCCTATATACCAGATTTGATCTGAAGGGTGAGATCCTAGCCCTCTGTACCCTTTCAAGGCATGTGCACACATTACTTTGAATTGACAGATATTATTGCAAATATGATAATTATCAAACACCTCCAAGAAGAGACCAATCTGGGTGTGGTTGATGTGTTCAATGACCCCTGAACACAGCTAAATAAGAGCTGTAGTGATTTTAATGTTATTGCAAGTTAGATATTGCCAATGTTAAGTGTGATGTTACATTTTTATCTGAGGTATCAATAAATTATCCCCAACCCTTTCACATCAAGCTCCTTCCAGCTCTCCAGTGCCCATATGGCTTTCACCAGCAGAGCAGGCTTATTTTTTGTCTGTTTCAGGTGAGCAAAGGCAAGTATGAAGCAGGTATGGGGCATAACAAGATCGCACTTGCCTTTGCTTGTCTAAAAAGTGCAAAAAAACATAATGCTTGTTTTGTAGCAAGCAAACTTCCATTCTTTCTCACTATGCAAAAGAAAGATAAATTAATGATTGAGGGTTAAAGACTGGATTTTTTAAGATTCCACAAACAGTTGTTTTACAGTATTCAACATTCAGACTAAAAGGAAATTTTTCTTGCTCGATTTTAGACGGGTCCAAGTTTTAAATTGTTGGCCTTAGTGTATTTTTTACCCACTCCCCCATCCCCTCCCCCCACCATCCATGCAATGTTTCATTCAACACAAACTTGTAGTATCCCCACGTAGGCAATATAAAACATTTTCTAACTTGAACTTAAACTTGCTTTAATCACAAAATTGTAAGGATCAATGGCAGCAGTGCAAGTAAAAATATACTTCCGTGGAATAAATTGCAAAGATAACCAAATCATGTAAGTCCTCAACAAACCCACACTCGAAAAAGTTTCACAAGTTGTTTACTTTCTTCAAGACTTCAGCTTAAAGTTTCAATACAAAAATAGGGTAAGGCTTAATGTTGCAAGGGTACAGAGCATATATATTTAATATTAACAATAAAAATGACTATCTTACGAGGCTTATAGTATATATTGTATCCGCGTTTATGGTCACCACTCAAATGCCATAACAAGAACAGCTAAAACAATACTTAAAAGAATGGGCGCAATGCAGATTGATTATTAATTATAAGTTCCTCTCGAGTGAACCCCATTTACACGTAAGCCATAAGGTACCAACTTAAAAAAATGCTGAGCATACTCATGAGATGAAACAAACGCTTTCAAGAAGGTAGCATTAAGTTAAATCCAAGGGAGTTAAATCATAGAACTGCAGTCTCATTTCAGAATTGGAGTAAACAGAAATAAGAAGCTCTTGTAAAAACGTTTCGAGTTACATGCATGCTATACGATTGAACGTACATGTATGTATACAGATATATAACATAACATAACAGGCAGACGTGTATATTGTATCTCGAGTAACAATGTCCGTGTTTCTGATAGTATCCCCTGTAGTAGATTATACTGGAAGCTATCTCTCATTCGCTTGACTTTTTCGGCGATTTCTTTGGGCTTGGAGCGGTTGTTTTCTTCACAGAACCTTTCGGTCGTCCACGAGGTCGTTTCGGGCCTGTCGGTTTAGGAGGGGCGTCCTTCTTTTTTGTGGAACCCTTGGGTCGGCCTCGTCCTCTTTTCACAACGGGTTCTCCAGACTCTCCTTCGGCTGGAGCGGGTTTTTCCTTAGGGGGACGACCACGCTTCTTTGGGCTCGCGCTCACGACTTCTTCCACGTCTGGCATTCTGATCGAACGTTCTTTTCCAAAATCTATTAGGGAAGTGTGAGATAAGACAAAAAATTACGATAGGAAAAAAAATAAATCACATGAACAGGTACAAGATTTTTAAAAATATTTTTAAGAAGAATTGTTGAATCTAACTTGAAATGCGTCTCGAGATAAATGGCGCGAAATTGATCACGCAAACAAATTTGCAACAAATGTTGCAAGAATAACGAAAAATGTTGCAAATAAATCAACTTTCTGGAATCAAAATGATAGCAAAGGATAAATACCTTACCAGATTTAACCGCGCGCACCTGAGCACTGCAGAATGAAAGACCGTTGGTAAAACAGAAATGCAAACAATCAACAATCACAGGAACGGAAGCGAAGCGAAACGACGCTAACCAAGACGCGCAACAAAACTCCCATCTTGCATTGCGCGCTTGAAGTCCTCGAAAGTATGACCAGCGGATTGCGCGCAAAAAACCAAGATGGCGGTTGCAGGATTCGCATGTCCTTTTGCACGCCTTCTTTCTTGCAAGCATATAGTTTCTCGAAATTTTATTCGTAGTGTTAGAATATGTGAACGAGTCTGCAGCCGCCATTCATATCATAGTCTTTCTTTGCTGTCATCTTGCCACGTTGCAGTAAGATCTCTTTCTAGCTCGTCCTTCGTGAAGCGCAGAAATTCCAGAAATAGTATAATTCTCTTCGCCTCTTCACAAGCATTGTTTCAGCATGATCGTAGGTTAGTAGACTCTCGTGAGCACAATGCTCTCCATCCTTAATGTAATTCAGAATTGTTGCAGACGGTGTGGCTGTTTAAAGGAATTGTTAATATTGTGATATTATTTAAGTTAAGTTATTATGTAATAGTTAACTCATTGACATTATTTGCCCTCTTTCGTGATATTGTACCACCTGAATAGCGGTCAACGGCATGCAGTAACTGTATTTTTTAACTACACCACATTAAAAAAATTGTAACAACAGAGTATTTCTTTCCTAAGGCTAGGAGGGGATTCCCCTCTGTAAGGGAGGCACATCTCTTTATCATATTGCTGGGCTGGGTATGGTGTTTTTTATCTCTATCCTGAATGGCATGTGAAATTTTAAACAACCTCACCCTAAACAGAGTCTCATGTTGAACTTTAGTTCAGATTTCCCCTTGGAGAAGTAGGTCTAAAATTTGATTTACTACAGGCAACCTCATGGCTGTCTAAATTTACCTTTCTTCATGTAATTAAATTACTTGCCCACGCCCTTACCCATAGTTTCTTGGAGGACTGCAAAATTTACTCATCCCAGACAACCAAAAAGGACTTTTTTCAAATCCTGTGATCTGGTCATAATAATGTATTATACCAGTACTTCCATGTAAAGTGCATGTAATTACAAATGTTTTTTTTNGCTGGGTATGGTGTTTTTTATCTCTATCCTGAATGGCATGTGAAATTTTAAACAACCTCACCCTAAACAGAGTCTCATGTTGAACTTTAGTTCAGATTTCCCCTTGGAGAAGTAGGTCTAAAATTTGATTTACTACAGGCAACCTCATGGCTGTCTAAATTTACCTTTCTTCATGTAATTAAATTACTTGCCCACGCCCTTACCCATAGTTTCTTGGAGGACTGCAAAATTTACTCATCCCAGACAACCAAAAAGGACTTTTTTCAAATCCTGTGATCTGGTCATAATAATGTATTATACCAGTACTTCCATGTAAAGTGCATGTAATTACAAATGTTTTTTTTTATGAGTATCATGCAATGCACTACAATCTACTTTTCCTTATTTTGTTTTAACAGATATTGTTCAACCAGTCCTCAGGTTGAACAATCTGAAAGTGACCCACAGCTTTTAACAAAATCACATTTATTACACCTTTGTGAAACAATAAAAAAGGTAACAATAATGTATGCATAAATTTTAATAAATGGAGATCTACACATGTAGGATTATTGCAAATTTTGACCCCTCCCCCCCACCACCACCCTCCCAAAAAAGAAGAAAACAAAAGAAATTGGAGGGACTTCAACAGGATTTGAGCCCACAGCCTCTGTATTAGCATTGCATGCAGTGTTCTACCAATTGAGCTGTGAAGAACCATACATTTGGAGCAGGCCAATTTGTTGAGTTCTTAACGTGCGAAAGAAATGACATGTTGATCAGATGATGATGTGGACTGTGGAAATAGAAATTATAGATAGTAACTAATCATATAATGAACATCAATGGAAAGAAATATAAACTTGTCAGGTTCCTTTGCCAAGCTGAATAAATTTCTCCTCAGTCAGCCATTAATGATATGTATTATTCACAGTGGTTACTGGAGAGCAACCCTCCCTTCCTACCCCAAAATAAAATTTATTAATTAATAAATCCCTTAGTAGAGTCATATGAAGAAACTCTTAGTGTCCAAACATTATATTATTCACTAAGGAGTTGTTGAGCCAGTCAGTCAGGCTTTTGTGTGATTTGTGAACAAAGTAGAGAGGAAGCACTACTAAATACATTTAAATAGTGAATTTGTAGGTCTAAGAAGTAAATTTATCGTAATATAGGCTTTGAGAATGTTGCTGAAATATAATTAAAATTTTGTCCTCCAGGAACTGAACACTTCCATAAGACCACTTAGAGATGTAAGCCATTACTACTTCGATGGACAGGGGAAATATATTAGACCGATGATTGTATTACTTACAGCTAGAGCATGTAACAATCACATTTCTAATTCAAGGTTTGTGTAAATCTGGGGGTTGGAGGGCTGAAGGGTGTGGTTTTTTGACCCCTTTTGGTCTGAAATCGGGTACAGATTTTAACCATTTGTGTGTTAAATGCGGAAAATTTTTTTATATGCTTTGTAACAAAATTAAGTAATTAAGTAAGTAAGTTTATGACTGAAATAGGATAGAAAAAAATGACATTTAGATATTGCAAAGAGAAATTTGATGCTGATATGTCTTAGGCTTTAAGGATTAAAGCTTAACCTGTTCGCCCCTGAACCACCCGTGCAGATCCATGTCCCTTTTACCACTTGTGACGCCATCAGATTTAATGGTCAAGGACAACTAACTTGTGCAGAGTAAAATGACCTTTCAAACCATACCAGAATGAGCACAATTCAGTGAAGGACCCCAGAGAAAAAAACATACAAAAAACCATGTAACATTGACCTGAACATTTCCATGAAAATCTTTTTCCACCATCGACCTACCTTTTCTTTCATTTTATATTTCTAAGATCCAAAAAAATTTCCTGAACACTTTTTTCAACTTCACAAACTTCAATATTTTATGTCTGGATCAAAAAGCTGTGAAGTGTATCCCCTGTAGACGGCTTTGTGGTATGTTTTAGCTCTTTATAGCAAGACAGTGACCAGAAAACTGCTCAACTAGCTTCAAAATGCATTCTTCAGTAACATTTCCAGGGGCAAATGGGTGAAATATGAGTGCACAGTTATTTATATAGAGATTAAGAATCATGTTTATGGCTTAACTAACAGCAAACGTCATGTGCATGCAAGGTGACAATTTTCCATTTTAGGAAATGAGCGGATAAAAACTTTCTGAGACAATTCACACACATGTATGGATGAACTGGCAAAAATCTACTGATTTCTGTGCTGACAAAGTAAATGTTAAACAGCAGATTAGGGCAAAACTTGCTCACGTGGTACAAATATTGATGTTTGTCATTTGCCGTAAAAGTAATTCTAAATCTCCCTAATAATATCGTATTTACCGGTATTCAATTTTTTAGGACCATACTACCTTCCCAAGAAACTGTTGTCATGGTATCAGAGATGATCCACACTGCCAGCTTAGTTCATGACGATGTTATAGATGGTGCCGATACAAGGCGGGGCAAGACATCTGTGAATAAGATGTTTGGAGAAAAGATGTCTGTCTTAGCAGGGGATTACATTCTTTCTTGTGCTTCCCAGGCACTGGCTCGGCTTGGAAACGCTGAAGTTGTCGAATTGTTAGCTAAAGTTGTAGATGATCTTATCAAAGGTTATTAAATCTGTGCTGTATTTCCTAAAATAATAACCCCCCAGTATTAACCCCAGGACTGAAATTTTGCTAATAGATTAGAAATAAATACAGTGTATTACAGATGGTATTTTACAGACTTGACCGAAAAACATGTTCACAAGGTTGTGCTCTAAGAAAAGTTGAAGGGAGCCTAAGGCTCTGGACCTCTGGAATCCAGGGTGACCAGTATATGATTTCTGTGAAAACAGCTAAGATTTGCTGGTCGCCCATGGGGCCACCCAGCAGTGTTAGAGAATAGTCTTCTTACACATTCAGTCACTTTCTGTGTTTTATATTTTTGTCAACTGGTGATGTTGTTTTCTTGTTTAACATGGGCATGATAAATCAGATGAGGAGGCTGTTTTCAGAATTTAGCTTGTGTCTCCTCAGTTTTAAGCCATTTTTAGATTATTATTAATGTCAAAAAAAAAAACTTTTTGGAGTGAAGCCTTTTTGTTGTTTATTAACTACAGTGATCACACGTTTTAAGTCTCAAACATGTGATGGAGGAACATTTTACTGGATTAGATAAACAGAATATTTATGTTTGTTGCAGGAGAGTTTATGCAGTTGGGATCTAAAGAACACCCAGATGAGAGGTTTAACCATTACTTAGAGAAAACATACAAGAAGACAGCCAGTTTAATAGCTTGTTGTTGTAAAGCGGTAAGTCTTCAGACATTAATGTACTCTAGTAGGAACTGTGAGTTTAAAATGTTTATTCTAAATCCCTCCTATTAAAATATAGTTTACTTGTACGCTAATTCATGGTTCCAAATGGAAAATACCTTGAAATTGTAATAACCCGATTCTAAAAGTGGTCCAAAGTCACTCAATCAAAAGGGAGGGGTTTTAGAGGGTGACTTTGAACCATGTTATCAGGCTAGCCATTGTAGTGTTTCAAAGATTTTTAAAACAACAACATTGACTTTATTATATTGAACAGGTATAATTACATCAACATGGGGAATTTATAGGAAACCCTTATGGGCTTTTACAAGATTCCTCTTATTTGAAGTACATTTTAGTGTAACTTAACGGATTTTATACATTTTTAGGTTTCTGTATTTGGTGGTTGTAGCCCTGAAATTCAAGAAATAGCCTATCAATATGGAAAAAATATAGGAATGGCTTTTCAGGTATGTTTGCTGCATTTTAAGATCATTAATTAAGGTGTAACATTTGTAAGTCCTAACTTCACGTCACTTGTTTATCCTTTTTCTTCCAGAATCAATTGTGAGACAGACTGTAAATAAAACTCTATAGTATGACCATTGAAATGAAACTTTTTCAGCAGTAATTTTTTTTGGTACCGTTTGGATAATTTAGAATTTTGCTGAATCTTGCAGATTTTTAAATCGTTTAGTTTATAAGGATAAAATGGAATGTGTTTCTCCTTCCCCCTTACCCCATTGGAGGTTTATAATAATACTGGTTTTAACATTCCCACCTTTCTGGAAATCCCAGGCAGTTTTGGTTTATACTTTCCTGAAACAGGAAAAAAGTTGTCATTGATAATAATTTTTAGCCTAAATTTCATCCAATTACTTCAAGTCGTTATTACTCCCTCAGTTACGTCGTTGTTGAGAGGAGAAAACGACTCGAAAAAATGGGATGAATTTGAGGCTAAATAATTTTATTACAAATTGTTCTTTTTGGCATTATTTTAGGTTGTAGATGATATTCTAGACTTTATATCAACTGACGTGGAAATGGGAAAACCAACAGCCACAGATTTACAACTTGGGCTGGCAACAGCTCCCGTGTTATTTGCTTGTGAACAGGTGAAGGAAAATGTTAAGAAAATTGTCAAACCATGGGCATACCCCTGCAGTTTTTTCTTTATGGTTGTCCTGTAATAACGAGAATATGGATTAATGTCAGTGCATTTTAGAACATGGTGTAGAGTCAAACAGGATCTATTACTNCGTGTTATTTGCTTGTGAACAGGTGAAGGAAAATGTTAAGAAAATTGTCAAACCATGGGCATACCCCTGCAGTTTTTTCTTTATGGTTGTCCTGTAATAACGAGAATATGGATTAATGTCAGTGCATTTTAGAACATGGTGTAGAGTCAAACAGGATCTATTACTCTAGACAGAATTTAAATGATGATAATTAAAGAAAATATATTGAGCTTCATATCCCACTGCCTTAGAATAAAAGTACTGGGTAGTACAGGTCCTGGTTGTTCAAACGTGGGATAGTGCTATCCACCAGATAAAAATCTATCCAGTGGATAACGCAGTTGGTTTTCCTAAGACCGTATTTATTTGATTAACTGCCCTGGGCGCTTATTAAATTTTTGGACTTTGAGAGTGGGCGCTCATTTGAAGTGGGCACTTCTATAATCTTCACCATTTTCGGCAAGTGTAATAAGTTTATTTAGCAACAATAAATGGTAATAATAAAATGTGAAGATGTAACGCAGCAAGGTTTCTCTGAAATACTCTGAACAAAACTTCGTGTTCAAGCAAGTCTCTTATAAGTACCTATTCAACGTTTTTTGGGTGGGAAGGGAAAGGGGATGGGGTGGGGTGGGCGCTTATTCGAGGTGGGTGCAAGTTCGAGGTTGGGCGCTTATTTGAATAAATATGGTACTTTTCTGCTGGATAGTGACTTCTCTAGTGGATAGCATTTTCCACCTTTTGAACAATCAAGGCTACACATTTTTGCATTTAGTGCAGGCAAGCAAAGTTAAATGTGAGGCGAGGGGTGAACAAGACACGCCTTGTCCTTCACCCTCTAGCTTCACACATCTCTCACAATCAATTCTTGCCCTGTGCTTTCCTTTGCTTGTCTAAAAAGAAAGAGTGATATAACCTGTTCTGTAGGCTACACAGTAAGTACTAGCCATTAATATAAACCCCTCTCAGAAAAAATTTCTTACATCAATAAGGCCCCTCCCTTGAGAACAAGGTGGCACATTGTATAAACTCATACTCCATCTTATGTTATCATTAGCATGCTAACTTAACTCGTTGCGTGTACTTTTTTCATTACAGTTCCCTGATCTTAATGCCCTTATTATGCGGAGATTTAAAGGACCCAATGATGTAGAAGAAGCTCGACAAGCAGTGCATAAGGTAAATATTGCCAGAATTAAAAGGGTACCCCTTAGTTTTCATATTTTGTCATTCACTAGAGGTTGACAGGATTTAGAGAAACTCATTGCCCTGCTCTTAATATCCATTGTACGTGGAAAAAGGCCCCTTTGATCATGAGATCAAGTGACACGTCACATGGATGAAAACCTAGTGTTATGAGGGTGAAGTAGCATACATTCAGTCCAGCACAAAGCAGGCATGGATTACTTTGTTTCCCCTTATATTGTGCTCTGTTTTTGTGCCCTGCTTTCTTTCTGGAAATTATACATACTGCATAATGGAGAAAAGACAGGCAAAAGCTTCATGGCCCGAGCTTACATATAATACGAGGGGTTTCTTTTAGCCTAGTGGGCATGTTTTCCTCTATTTGACATGATTAATAGGCACAGTTGTTCCCATAACTGATGTCAAATTATTGTGCGCCACCAAAGCTGTTTTGAACATCATTTGTCATGAGTGTCATGATATGTGGTTAAATAGTAATTTTTCACGTGGGTCGGTCACTTTTTTAATATTGCTTTTGTTTTTCAGAGTGATGGTATAGCCCGCTCCTATACATTGGCAAGCCAGTACGCTAAGGAAGCAGTGAGACAAATCAACAAATTGTCTCCATCTCCCCACAGAGATGCCCTGGTCAAAATCACACAGGAAGTCTTAAAACGAAGAAAGTAGATTCCTGCAACGGCTACCACTGCCGCCACTGGGGGAGGGGGTACTCAACAGATGTTTACACGGGGAGGCTCCTCCCCAGAGTCCCTACCTCTTACCTTTTATATACCATTTTTTCACGAAAAGGGTACCCGTTTAGTATGTTTTCTATTGACAAATGGTATCTTTTTCACATACCTTTTAACTGCTGTAAATGCACTGTCTTTTAAAAAGGAATCAATCACAAGTATAGAACGTTTTCTCTCGTTTTCTCTCAACCTCGTCCATCCCTTTTGGAGCCTTTTACAGACCCAAATGACAGATTTCCCTTGCCTTTAATATACTTCAACGAGTGGGATCCCTTACCCCTTTCGAGCGGGGCCTCCCCGTATAGGCCNGAACATCATTTGTCATGAGTGTCATGATATGTGGTTAAATAGTAATTTTTCACGTGGGTCGGTCACTTTTTTAATATTGCTTTTGTTTTTCAGAGTGATGGTATAGCCCGCTCCTATACATTGGCAAGCCAGTACGCTAAGGAAGCAGTGAGACAAATCAACAAATTGTCTCCATCTCCCCACAGAGATGCCCTGGTCAAAATCACACAGGAAGTCTTAAAACGAAGAAAGTAGATTCCTGCAACGGCTACCACTGCCGCCACTGGGGGAGGGGGTACTCAACAGATGTTTACACGGGGAGGCTCCTCCCCAGAGTCCCTACCTCTTACCTTTTATATACCATTTTTTCACGAAAAGGGTACCCGTTTAGTATGTTTTCTATTGACAAATGGTATCTTTTTCACATACCTTTTAACTGCTGTAAATGCACTGTCTTTTAAAAAGGAATCAATCACAAGTATAGAACGTTTTCTCTCGTTTTCTCTCAACCTCGTCCATCCCTTTTGGAGCCTTTTACAGACCCAAATGACAGATTTCCCTTGCCTTTAATATACTTCAACGAGTGGGATCCCTTACCCCTTTCGAGCGGGGCCTCCCCGTATAGGCCATCATAGAGAGTACCCCCCGCCCCTAGGGACTGCCGCAAGCCTCTCTGTACCCCTCTCTTTGGTCTTGAAAACGTACCACACGAAAAGAGTTAATAAACAAGTCACCCTCCCTTTGATAACTACTTTACTTGTGATTTTACTATCAAACTCGCTAACGGGATACCTACCTCGCGCCACAGTCTTATAGTTTCTTCAGTTGAGTGTGGACATCCTCCTGGAATAAATCTTTCTGAACTCGATAAACATGATTTTTCACGTAGGACATTGTCGGGTACGCCTGTCATTTTCTGTAAAATAAATTGTAATTTATTAAAAAGTGTCTTTAAATTTTAATAAACAATAATATGATCTTTAAGTTGTTTCATGTCCAACGGAATTAAAATCACAGAAAATGAAAGGTTTTTGGTATTGCACAACTCATTCGATTTAACACATAATGTCTCAACTAATTTATCGAGAATTTCACGTGATACAGAAGGGGCCAGGGCTGTGCATTAAATAGAATACAACGTGGTTGTGTATCCGCACATACAAGCAAAAGTGAACCGAAAAAACGCCTCCCCCTTTCTTTGGTTTTATATATCTCTGGGATTTTTGAAAAAGTATCAGGCGCCCATTACCCGGAGCGAGCAACTCCCATATATTTGCCCATGTAAGAGAATCCGAAATCCTGGGCTTTGGGTTCCGGAATACATCTCAAAGAGTCCGGAATTCAACTAACGACTTGAATTTAGAATCCAAGTTCCACTGACAAAGACTGGAATCTAGTACCCCGAATCCGGAATCCACAATCCAAGACTGTCTTGGATTCCCGTTAGTACATGGGGAGATATATTTTAGCCCTACAACTGTAGGTCACGGCGTTTTACTTCCCGGTTTATTTTTAGATACATTTTACAGTACTTGTTAGAGTACCCGCGAAAATCGTTCTAAACCTAAAGTAGTCTGCAAAAATGCCGTCACACAAGTACTTGCTCAAGGAAGCTACTCGCTCCGGGTTTAGGGCTCTAAAAGTAACTTGAAAAGTAACAATCTGCAAAGTTTTCGCGTTCAAACGCAGTCAAGTGCTTCAAACTATGCGCACATTAGAGTCAGGGATCTTACGATCCGACAACGGCGACGTCCATGAAAACGTCGCTGAAAAAATTATTCCAAGGGTTGGTGGGTTGGAGCTGAAGAGAAGGGACCGCGCCTGAATTCTAACAGAGATGGTAGAATTTATCGCCTTGCCGTTCCTGTTCCCAAGTAAACTTAAAATTTTCTTATTTCATGTCGTAGTTGTGCAGGGACTGAAAGGAAATGTACAAAAAAGAGTGGTACTGTACACGTGCAGAGTTGTTGCTTTGCCCAGTAAACCTATATTGCCTTTTTGACGTTCCCGTTCCTCTTGCCATCGCCGTCGTTGTTTCGTAAGGTCCCTAATGACTTAGTTATGACGGCGAAGGTAACTCGTTGCCTTTGGAAGGAAAGCACTGTTAACCATGCCCACTGTTGTTCAAACGTCTTATTAAAAGTTCTTCCTTATGTATTTTTCGCTTTCCTTTATTCATTTTCTTGCCATGTAAATTGTTGCACGTCTGTTTGCCCAATGAATGATTAATAAAGACCATTATTATTATTATTATTACTCTTATTATAATCATCATTGTTATTGGATAACGCTACCCATCCGATAAATCACTAAGCAGCTGAAAAGTATTAGGCGAAACAATTGCGTTATCCGCTGGATAGAAATTTATCCAGTGCATGGTGTTATTCGTCATTTGAATAACTGGGGCCATAACTGTAACAAAATTCTCTAATCTGATTGGCTATATAAATGAACAGTTCCGATTTCAGCATTAACAGGGCAGTGCGCATAATGCCTAAGTATCTGAACGGCACTCGCCATGGCGTGCGCAACTGAGTGTTTTTTTTTTTTTCAGTTCTAGCAAAACTCTCCAAACCTTTGTGTTCTAATCCTTAAAGTATCACACATTTGGATAAAAGTTATGGTTAATTGGTGATGACATCGTGTCATCTTATTCGGTGTAAAGTGATAAGAGTGACTTTTGTTTACCCACGCATATGACTGACAAATAAGGCCCTTTGACATGAGGCTTATATTTCTTCCAGCCAATCAGATGAAACGTTTATGTGATCAAAGATCAAGTAACAACTACAATGCACTTACCATAGAGCGGGTGATTTTACTTGCGGATTTTGTGCCAGTATTCTGTAGTCCATGTTGCCAGTTCACTCAAAATATCTCTCTCAAGCTGAGTTACTTTTGGTAGTGAAAAAGCTACAATCTTGGACAAAATAAAATGGAACAGCAAACCCCCATCCCCCCCAAATCAAGGATGAAGGCGCGCGAAGGGCAAAAACGCGCCATTTTCCCATCCTTGATTTGGGGGGGAGGGGGGGTCTAGGTTTTCCATTTATTTTGTCCAAGATTGTCTCGAAGGTGTCTAAGTCACGAAATTATGGTTGGCCATCCGTTTCAAAATTATGACATCGTGTACGTGGGCTTTTTTGCCGCGTATAATCGTTTATAATCGCTATGTATGGGCTTTTATCCCATATACAGCCATTTATATCGCGTATATACGCGTATTTAATACGCGTATATGTGCAAAATCAAATGCACGTCTATACGCGTTGCTAAAAACCCGTATATATGCGTACCTGTCAAAACCCACGTATACGCGTGCAAAAATGTGCATATACGCGGGGTTCAGAAATCAGACTTGGTATAAGATGGCACCAAAAGTGCCTCTAACGGAATAGGTTTCATGTATCGTGGCAATGAAAAGTGCCTTTCGCAATGCAAACATGGCTTCCTCTCTAGCTCTTGTAGTGATATGTATCTTGTCAACTAGTTCTTACAGTTCTCCCACAACGGATCTTCTGGAGACGGTTTCTCGTCTATTAAGGGATTGCTCCAGGTTTTATCCACACGCCGATCGAAACATG